CTCGAACTCCTGACCTCAGGTGATCCACCCACCTTGGCCTCCCAAAGTGCTGGGATTACAGGCATGAGCCACTGTGCCCGGCCTTTTTTTTTTTTTTTTGAGACGGAGTCTCACTCTGTTGCCCAGGCTGGAATGCAGTGGCCGGATCTCAGCTTACTGCAAGCTCCGCCTCCCGGGTTTACACCATTCTCCTGCCTCAGGCTCCCGAGTAGCTGGGACTACAGGCACCCGCCACCACTCCCGGCTAATTTTTTTGTATTTTTTAGTAGAGATGGGGTTTCACCATGTTAGCCAGGATGGTCTCGATCTCCTGACCTCGTGATCCGCCCGTCTTGGCCTCCCAAAGTGCTGGGATTACAGGCTTGAGCCACCGCGCCCGGCCTTTTTTTTTTTTTTTTTTTTTTGAGACGGAGTTTCGCTCTTGTTTTCCAGGCTGGAGTGCAATGGCGTGATCTTGGCTCACTGCTACCTCTGCCTCCCGGGTTCAAGCGATTCTTTTGCCTCAGCCTCCCAAGTAGTTGGTATTACAGGCAAGCACCACCACGTCCAGCTAATTTTTTGTATTTTTAGTAGAGATGGGGTTTCACCATGTTGGCCCGGCTGGTCTTGAACTCCTGACTTCAGGTGATCCAACAGCCTCGGCCTCCCAAAGTGCTGGGATTAAGGGCATGAGCTACCGCGCCTGGCTTTATTTTTTATTTTTGAGAAAGCATCTCACTCTGTTGCCCAGGCTGAAGTGTAGTGGTGAAATCATGGCTCATCGCAACCTCAATCTCCCGGGCTCAGGTAATTGTCCCACCTCAGCCTCCTGAGTAGCTGGGACTACAGGCACACACCATCATGCCTGGCTAATTTTTGTATTTTTTGTAGAGACAGGGTTTTGCCATGTTGCTCAGCATTTTGTCAAATCCCTGAGCTCAAGTGATCTGCCTGCCTGGGCCTTCCAAAGTGCTGGGATTACAGACGTGAGTCACCGAGCCTGACCAGTTACAGGTTTATTTACTTCAACTGAATTTTAGCCACCAGACTATAGTATCTTGCAGAACTTGAGATGAAAGTATGCTCATGAGAGTGAGGATCTGTTTCAGCAATCAGCTGGTTTCCTTATCCCTGCCATTCATCTATTCATCCAACCATCCAACCATCTATTCAACCATCTGTCCAGTTCTCCAACTATCTATCCAGTCCATCAACCATCCATCCAATCACCTAGTCAGCCACAAATATCATGTGGCCATCCATTAAACAAATATCAAGGGCATCCTCCATACCAATTCCATGTCAGGAGGAGGCTGAATGCAGAGGTGAATAGATTACAAAAGCAAATGTAAAAGCCAGGTTTCTTTTTTTTCCTTTGAGCTAGGGTCTCGCTCTGTTGCAAGGCTAGAGTGCAGTGGCATGGTCATAGCTTACTACAGCCTCAAACTCCTAGGCTCAAGCAATCCTCCTGCCTTGGCCTCCCAAAATGTTGGGATTACAGGCATGAGCCACTATGGCTGGCCCAGGCTTTCCACTAGATTTGGAGCTCCCTGAGGGCAGAATCCCTTGCTTTGGTATCTCCAGTACAAAACATTATTTGGGTCCTGTTTTCCTTTTCAACCTCATCTACTCAACTTCTTGCTCATTCCTCAACCAGATTGGTCTTCCTTCTGTTTCTGGAACAAGCCAAACCCTCTTTTGCCTCAGAACTTCAAGCAGTTGCCGTTCCTTTTGATCCAAATGTTCATCCAGCAGTGTCAATAGCTGGCTGCCTTCTCCTTTGCATCTTAGTTAAGATATCCAGTCCTGGCCGGGCACGGTGGCTCAAGCCTGTAATCCCAGCACTTTGGGAGGCCGAGACGGGTGGATCACGAGGTCAGGAGATCGAGACCATCCTGGCTAACACGGTGAAACCCCGTCTCTACTAAAAATACAAAAAAAAAAAAAAAAAAAAAACTAGCCGGGTGCGGTGGCGGGCGCCTGTAGTCCCAGCTACTCGGGAGGCTGAGGCAGGAGAATGGCGTGAACCCGGGAGGCGGAGCTTGCAGTGAGCTGAGATCCGGCCACTGCACTTCAGCCTGGGCGACAGAGCGAGACTCCGTCTCAAAAAAAAAAAAAAAAAAAAAAAAAAAAGATATCCAGTCCTCAGAGAAGGCTTTTGTGACAACCTTATCTAAAGGAGACACCTTTCAGCCCCTCTGCCAGCTACTTCTATTCCCTCACCCTGTTTATTTCTCTCATGGTATTTCTCACGTCTGTGATCATCTTGTTTATTCATTGTTTGCTCATTTTCCAGTTCCCCAACTAGAAAAATAATCCTCAGGAGGGCAGTTACTAAATCTTTCATATATATATTCACCAACCTGGGCAACACATCCCTGTGTTGCCCAGGCTGGTCTTGAACTCCTGAACTCAAGTGATATCTTTTGTATTCTTTATTTCATACCTTCTGCCTGACTAGTCCAGTCACTGAAACATAGTAGTCCTTTAATATTTATTTGTTGAATGAATTAATAAGTGAATGAACAATATATGACCAAATCTTTCTAGTATTAGGAAGCTTGAAGAGTAGTGGAAAAGAGACCTTGAAAGGTAAGATGAGAACACAGAGAGGGCTTTGAAAGCCAAGCAGAAGAAGGTACACTCCATGTGAGCATTGGGAGCCAGTAGAAGCTCTTGAGTTACAGAATGAAATGGTGGCTTAGGACAGTGACTTGGTATGGCACAATCTGCTATGAATCTGAAATGTAAATTACTCATTGCAGCATCTTGTAATGAATTACTACAAGAGGTAATCAGGTCCCAGGACCCGAACTATATTTTTCTCCCTGTGGGAGATTACACAGTGTGAGACCTTAGGGGCTAGGCATTTCATAGACTATATGTTGTGTTTAATTAGTTGATTATGGTGAGCTATAGACAAAGTATTATGGTGAAAACCCTATAAGGCAGAATCTATGTCTGTTTACTGCAAGTATCTAGTCTGAAGGAAATAACTCTTTGTTGAATGAATGATTGAGTGAAAGTCATGTACTTAGAAGGACCCAGGATAGATAGGATCTGCTGTTAGCTAGCTGTGTGACCCTTAAGATCTTATTATCTTTTTATTTTTATTTTTTTGAGATGGAGTTTCACTCTTGTTGCCCAGAGTGGAGTGCAATGGCCAGATCTTGGTTCACTGCAACCTCTGCCTCCCGAGTTCAAGCAATTCTCTTGCCTCAGCCTCCCAAGTAGCCAGAATTACAGGCATGCGCCACCACGCTCAGCTAATTTTGTATTTTTAGTAGAGATGCGGTTTCACCGTGTTGGTCAGGTTGGTCTCAAACTCCCGACCTCAGGTGATCCACCTGCCTCGGCCTCCCAAAGTGCTGGGATTACAGGCTTGAGCCACTGCGCTTGGCCTGCTTAGGATGTTTAACATGGCTAAGGCTTGGCTTCCTCATCTGTAAAAGCAGGAGAAGATTTAAGTCACAGGATTTTAAGTGAGAGCTTTTGGGAAAATCTCTGGTACAAAATGAACACTAAATACATTTTTTTTTGTGTGTGTATTTTTAAATGATATTCTGAAACTTCCCTGATTGGGATCTTCTACTGGCCTTTCCCCAAGAGCCACTTGGTTTGAAATAGGCAGAGCATATGGTGATATTTGTTTATTGCTATTTTCAGTCTTTTCCGTGTAAAACCGAAATTCTGACTATGCATTTTACCAGCCGAGTAACCTTGGGCACCCTCTTTGTGCCTCGAAATTTTAAGGATTGAGATGATATGCTATAGTGTTTGTATTAGTGCCTGGTACATGGTACTTAAAAGACACTAGCTGTAATTATTCTTCAGGACTTTATTTTTTTTACTCTCAATGCTAGCAGCTTTTCTTCCCTCTCTCCTGTAGGCATTCTCCCAGAAAAAAGGCTGACTCTGAGGTGCCATTTGAGAGAAATAGGTTCAGTAGATTCTTCCAGAGATAACAAACGAAGAGACTTGACGTGAGAGTAAGAGAAGTAGGGGCGTTAGGACACTGAAGTGAGAGAGCTTCTTCTCTTGGCATTGGAGAAGCCAGGAAACATAAAGGCTTTTGCAGGGATCAGGTGCGTCCACTTTGCAGTGTATTTGGAGAGAACAAGCAGTGTTCACATATCAGTCCAGCAATGTCTCAAGACTCTTTTCTGGAACAGTCATCAGTTTAATCCAGTGAGGATGGTGTCTCTCCTCTTTCATGAGCATTTTCCTATTTTTGAAATGTTAGTAAGTAGGTGCTTTGTTCCTAGGAAGTGGAGAGAAGTCAAGGAAAATACTCATCGTACTCCTAGAAGTCAATGAAAACACTCCTCGTACTCCTTATGGCAGCTGGAGTGGCTGCCGTGAGCCAGCTGCCATGAGGTTATGGAGAACGTCTTGAATATTCTATTCCCCAGCACCTAGTGCAGTGACTAGCATAGTAGGCACTCAAAAAGTGTCGGTAGGATTATATTTCAAACTTTAGTTGTCTTTCCCAGAGAAGCCTGTCGTGCCCACACGCGGTCGCAAGAAGTCCGCGCCTAGAAATAACATTTATTCTAAGGATCTCTGCGCAGAGATTCTTGGGAAGCGGTTCCCCTCCCACATTCCCTAGTTACTCCTCCCCTCGGCGCCTTTGAAAGAAATAGCACGCCACATGATTCCCTCCTTTCTCCCACCTCCGAAGACCTGACTGATAATGGGCAGGAGCGTAAGCCAACCATAAAACTTTATTTCCTCTTCCAGCCAATAGCAAGAGGGGATGAGTATATGGCTCCTCTTTTGTGACTTCCCCCGCCCCCTTGGATTACGCCCCCTATTCCTCCACTCAGATTCCACACTTGACAACACATCTGGCCAATGAGAAGTTCCTACTCTGCGTGGGAAGGATGGACTGACTAGATGATAGACGTCCACCCCTGGCCAATGGAATATCACAAGTGCGGGAGGGGTGTAGAATGGAACCAATGGCGAGGTGCCAAAAACGAGCATCAGGGAAAGGGCGGGACGAAAGTGTTCGCGGGAGGGAGGGGAAGGCCCAGGGAACCAAGCAGCGCTGCCGCCGCCGCCGCCGCTGCAGCCGGAGTTGGAGGAGGGAGAAGCCAGGAAGAAAATGGCGGCCGTGGCTGCAGAGGCGGCAGCGACTGCAGCGTCCCCCGGGGAGGGGGGTGCCGGCGAGGCCGAGCCGGAGATGGAGCCCATCCCCGGCAGTGAGGCCGGCACTGACCCCCTCCCGGTCACGGCCACTGAAGCGTCTGTGCCGGATGGCGAGACCGACGGGCAGCAGTCCGCTCCTCAGGCCGACGAACCGCCGCTCCCGCCGCCACCGCCGCCGCCGGGGGAGCTCGCCCGCAGCCCAGAGGCGGCGGGGCCGGAGCTGGAGGCTGAGGAGAAACTGTCCGTTCGGGTGGCGGAGTCGGCTGCAGCCGCGCCTCAGGGAGGGCCCGAACTTCCACCTTCTCCAGCATCGCCACCGGAGCAGCCCCCGGCACCCGAGGAGCGCGAGGAGCCGCCGCTGCCTCAGCCCGTAGCCCTGGCGCTCGTGCCGCCGGCGGGCGGGGTTTCCACGGTGTCGCAACTGATCCCGGGCTCGGAGGTGCGGGTCACGCTGGACCACATCATTGAGGACGCGCTCGTCGTGTCGTTCCGCCTCGGGGAGAAGCTCTTCTCCGGGGTCCTCATGGATCTGTCCAAAAGGTACCGCTCCCGCCCCCAGCACGCTCCGGTCCGCTGGGTCCCCAGGGAGGGAGTGAGCCCGGGCGGCCCCCTCTCCCCGAGCCCTCGCTTCCCTGCTGCCCGGGGCCCCGCCCTCTGGTCCTGCGCGGCGCGTGGCGCGCGCTCCGAGTGGGGCAGGCGCGCGAGACCGGGAGAGGGCGGTCCCGGCCCCAGGTGGGCGCCTGCGGGGCAGGTGTGCCACCAGGTGGGAGGGCGCGGGTGCAGATGGGCTCACAGGTCTCACCCCTCACTCCTGGCCTTCTGCGACTTGGCCTGGACTCACCGGCACTGGGCGGGTGGGTTAATGCAAGATGCAGATGGATTATTGCAGAGAACGGCGTGTTGGACAGGGGGAGGGAGGCAATCCTTGCGAGGAGGCACTTGTCTGTCCTCAAATCAACGTTTAACTTTAGCAGGGCTGGAGAAAGGGGTGTGTACATTGGGGATCCCAAAAGGTTACCTGTCACTCCTTACAGGGGGAAGAGCATTTGTTAAAATGAACCTTTTAACTGTGATTCTTACGGTTAGAAGTCATTCCCGTTAGGTTAACCATTCAATAGAGAAGCATATTTTGCTAATTTTAATGATAGTTTTAAGAAAAGTTTAAAGAAGAGATTGGAGATTTCAAAAAATCCTTTAATGTCAAGGTGGTGTAGCATAAAAATGTTCAAATAACTTCTAACACCTGGGATACCGTTTATATACTAAGGACAAGAAGGTTGAGTTCATCTACAAATTTGGCTTAACCAGCACATTTTCATTTTTTGATTTAAAATGTTTTTGGGCTCTGCTTTAAACAGGGGAATAAACCTGTTCTAAATCTGGAGTTAACCTTTTTATTCTCTTCTTTTGCAGATATGAAGTGCAGAGACTCCCATTCACGCCTTTCCATTCTGTTTCCTACAATAGCGCACACTCTGATGGTATCTCACCTGTTTGCCATGGCTTATTAGTATGTTTTACTCTTAAACTGCTTGCTTTCCCATCAAGACACAGGAATCCTTCTTTCCCATTTGGGGAAAAAAGCCATTTAAAATTTCATATTAAAGTATGGTGTTTGCGGCGGGAAGATGAGAGCAGTTACTCTGTATTATTTAATCTCAAATATCTTTTTTTTTTTTTTTTGAGACGGAGTCTTACTCTGTCCCCCAGGCTGGAGTGCAGTGGTGCCATATCGTCGCACTGCAACCTCTGCCTCCTGGGTTCAAGCGATTCTCCAGCCTCAGCCTCCCAAGTAGCTGAGACTCCAGCCTCAGCCTCCCAAGTAGCTGGGACTCCAGGTGCGCGCCACCATGCTGGTTTAATTTTTGTACTTTTTAAGGAGAGACAGGTTTTCACCATGTTGGCCAGACTGGTCTTGAAATCCTGACCTCAGGTTATCCACCCGTCTCAGCCTCCCAAAGGGCTGGGATTACAGGCATGTGCCATCGTGCCAGGCCTCAAGTATCTTTTTTAAAAATAATTTTGGATTAGGGCATTTGCACTTCTGTTTATGTTTGTTTGTTTACTTATTTAATAGAGACGGGGTCTTGCTGTGCTGCCCAGGCTGGTCTCAGACTCCTGGGCTCAAGCGATCCTCCTGCCTCAACCTTCCAAAGTGCTGAAATTACAGGCATGAGCCACTGCGCCCGGCCTGCACTTCTGTTTTCATAATTAGAAAGCAGAATAAGGTGAGTGTACTTTCTATTGATGTATTTTATTTATTTACTTATTTTTTTTTTGAGACGGAGTTTTGCTGTTGTTGCCCAGGCTGGAGTGCAGTGGTGTGATCTCAGCTCAGCTCACTGTAACCTCCACCTCCTTGATTCAAGCGATTCTCCTGCCTCAGCCTCCCAAGTAACTGGGGGCTAATTTTGTATTTTTAGTACAGATGGGGTTAACCATGTTGGTCAGGCTGGTCTCAAACTCCTGACCTCAGGTGATCCACCCACCTTGGCCTCCCAAAGTGCTGGGATTACAGGCATGAACCACCTCGCCCGGACTCTGTTAATGTATTTAATAGTGAGAGACACTCAGTGGTGTGTATGCTGTTGAATGAAACAGAAGAGATGGCCAGTGATTGTGTGAGAATCTGGATTTCAAATCTGCAAAAGGAAGGTGCAGAAGGTAAGTTGATTTTGGAAATGGAATGGATAAGTGCTCATTGTGTTAGTGCTTTATTTTTAAAAAATTTTCTTTGGTAGAGAATTGCAATTGAGTTTTGGTCTCTTGCTATCAGTGCCTAGAAACAGCAATTTCTTTTATTGGAGGAGCTATTCCTAATATGAACCTTTTCCATTTGAATATTCTGAAGTGAAAGGATCCTATTATTATTATTATTTATTTATTTATTTTTTCGAAGACGGAGTCTTGCTCTGTCACACAGGCTGGAGTACAGAGGTGCGATCTCGGCTCACTGCAACCTCTGCCTCCAGGGCTGAAGCAATTCTCCTGCCTCAGCCTCCTGAGTAGCTGGGATTATAGGCGCCCAGTGCTTTGGGAGGCCAAGGCAGGCAGATCACTTGAGTGCAGGAGTTCCAGAGGAACCTGGGCAACATGGTAAAACCCTGCCTCTACCAAAAAAAAAAATATAAAACTTAGCTGGTCATGGTGGCTTGTGCCTGTGGTGCCAGCTACTTGGGAGGCTAAGGTGGGAGGATCTCTTGAGCCCCGGAGGTGGAGGTTACAGTGAGCTAAGATCATGCCACTGCAGTCCAGTCTGGGTGACAGAACGAGACCCTGTCTTAAAAAAATAATTGTGGAAATGTTGAGGAAATAAAACACAGTGACTCTAAAATATAGCAATTCAAGGAATTCTTATTGGACTAATGATTGACTAGTTGAATTTCCTTTTTTTTATAGTTTCATCCGGGAAAACGGACCAGCCAGTATATTTTGTAATTTGCACTAATATTGATTGCACACTTTCATGTGCAATTTTGAGGTTTACTGATGGATCCAGGAGATTGTTTTTTTTGTTTGTTTGTTTTGTTTTGTTTTGTTTTGAAGTGTAGGGTCTCGCTGTGTTGCTCAGGCTGGAGTGCAGTGCTAGGATCATAGCTCACTGCATTCTTCCACCTTAGCTTCCCAAATAGCTGGGACTACAAGTGCACACCACCACGCCTGGCTAACTTTTTTTTTCCCTTTTTTTGAGACGGAGTCTCACTCTGTCACCCAGGCTGGAGTGAAGTGGTGTGATCTCAGCTCAGTGCAACCTCCACCTCCTGGGTTCAAGCGATTCTCCTGCCTCATCCTCGCGAGTAGCTGGGATTACAGGCACCCGCCACCACGCCCGACTAATTTTTATATTTTTAGTAGAGACAGGGGTTTCACCATGTTGGCCAGGCTAGTCTCTAACTCTTGACCTCAGGTTATCTGCCCACCTCGGCATCTCAAAGTGCTGGGATTACAGTCATGAGCCACCATGCCTAGCCCATTTTTGTATCTTTTGTAGAGATGGGGGTCTTACTATGTTGCTCAGACTGGTCTCGTGCTCCTGGGCTCAAGCGATCCTCTGATTTTGACCTCCCAAAATGCTGGGATTACAGGCATGAGCCATTGCAGCCAGCCAGCTATATTTTCATCCAAACGAAACCTTGAGATCCAGCATAGAGACATGACTGCCAGTCTGTTTCAGAGACTAGGCTGGAACCCAGGGCTACTGAGTTTGTGCTCTTTTTTTTTTTTTTGACAGAATCTCGCTCTGTCACCCAGGCTGGAGTGCGGTGGTGCGATCTCAGCTCACTGCATCCTCCGCCCCCCAGGTTCAAGTGATTCTCCTACCTCAGCCTCCTGAGTAGCTGGAACTACAGGTGCATGCCACCATGCCTGGCCAATTTTTTTGTATTTTTTAGTAGAGACGGGGTTTTACCATATTGGACACGCTGGTCTCAAACTCCTGACCTCCTGACCTCATGATCCGCCTGCCTTGGCCTCCCAAAGTGCTGGGATTTTAGGCGTGAGCCACTGCACTTGGCCGCACTTGGCTAATTAAAAAAATTTTTTTTGTAGAGATGGGGGTCTTACCATGTTGCTCAGGCTGGTTGAACCCTTTTTTTTTTTCTTGAGACTGAGTCTCACTTTGTTCCCCGGGCTGGAGTGCAGTGGCACAATATCGGCTCACTGCAGCCTCGGCCTCCTGGGTTTAAATGATCTTCTGCCTCAGCCTCCCGAGTAGCTGGGATTATAGGCATGTTCCACCACGCCCGGCAAATATTTTTGTGGAGACAGGGTTTTACCATGTTGGCCGTCTGGTCTTTGAATTCCTGACCTCAGGTGATTGTCCCACCAGCTGCTGGGATTACAGGCATGAGCCACTGCGCCTGGCCTGAACGCTTTTTTTTTTTTTTTTTTTGAAACAGAGTCTTGCTCTGTCACCCAGGCTGGAATGCAGTAGTGTGATCTTGGCTCGCTGCAACCTCGGCCTCCGGGATTCAAGGGATTGTAGTAGAGACGGGGTTTCACCATGTTGGCCAGGCTTATCTCGAACTCCTGACCTCAAGTGATCCTCCTGCTTCAGCCTCCCAAAGTGCTGGGGTTTACAGGCATGAGCCACTGCGCCAGGTCTGAACTCTGGGCCTCAAGCCATCCTCCCACTTCTACACTCCCAAAGTGTTGGGATTACAGGCGTGAGCCACTGCACCCAGCCAAGATACTTTAGACTCTACTAAGGCTATATTCATCAGTTGCTTTAAAGTAATTTGTATCTTATTTGAATTGGCCATTGAATTCAACCTCTAGGTAAAAAATTAGGAGCTTTCTACTGAGTGCCCATTATATGCCAGACATTGTACCTCATGCTTTAGTTTTTTTAATAACCTTGGTAGTGTTTTTAATTTACACAGAAGGAAATGGAAGCTCATTTAATTTGGCCAGTTAACTTGTAAGTGGCAAAGCAAGGATTCAAATGTAGGTTGATCCCATTCTAAAACCTCTGCTTTTTCTACTTGAATATTAGAAAGCCAGTTGGGCTAAGTTTTAGTTTAAGCAGAAAGTAAAGAATG